ACTTATTAAAGTATTTTGTAATCTTCCCACAATTAGTGATAAAATTCTTAATTTCCTCGATTTTGACTAAATCTGATGCTATTAAATTAATTGCATGGGCAGCACATCGGATGTTTGAAATATGCGAATACTTTTCCTGTATTTTTTTCCTTGCAACCTAACAATTAGCAGCAGAATCTGTAACAACAGCAGCAAATTTTTCAGTACCAATTGTTTCAATAATACTAGAAATTTCCGAAGCAAGAAAATCACCAGTATGAGATTCCAAAGAATAGTTTCGCAAAGAAACTAAATATTCTTTACAATCTGTAGTTGTAATCATATAATTGTATAAAGATTCTCCTCGTTTAGACGTCCACCCATCCAATGCTAATAAAAAAAATTATATTAATATTAATATATACAATATAAATTAGAAAATTTTAATTTGAATATATCATACTTAATGTTAAATGCTCAGCATTTTCCAAATCTGTATCAATACTATTTTATACGTGTGTAACTTCTTCATCTAATAATCTTCTAGATAATATTGTACGCGATGGTAAAATGTAAGTAGGATTCAGTTCTTTAAATAAATCTACAATAAAGGGATTTTCGATCACTTCAAATAGTATATCACCCATATTCCAAGCCTTTAAAAGAGACTGATCAATACGATTACTAACTTGTGAAGGTAGTGGTTGAGATGATTTAAAATGTTGATCAATATTTGACTATACGCGAAATGTTCTAGTATAGGTAATATTGTTTTCTGTAAGCTTATTACGCCAATATTTACTAATATCTTTAGGTGTACTTAAACACTCATTTGCGAGATGAGCTTTTAAGACACTAGGTTTTCCTCTTGTCCAAACTTTATTACAATGGTAACAAGTCGCCTTGTAATGTTCTGGGTTTAATTCTTGACCCATAATGAAATAGGTCCAAACTTCATCAAAATTCTGCTCACCTTTTCTTACCCTTTTTGCGATAGTGGTTGTAGTTGTGCTGGTGCTAGTGCTAGTACTGGTATTGGATTGGTGTTGGAATCTGATGGAGTAGGGGAAGTACTGAAATAAGCGGTTATATTGGTTGAAGATATTGCATATACATTGGAAAACTTTGAAATAAACTAGAAGCCGACAATGAAAAAACCTCTGATCTCAGTACACAAAATCATATCGGTACACAAAATCATGATATAAAGTAACGTGACTTATATGAGTCACGTCACATTTTATGTCAATTAAAGTTGCGTCAAGTCTAAAATCAAATGTCATTTATGAAGTCATGTGACAATTTGATGCAACTGACAGAACTTTTAATGGTTTGATGTAACCTCATAGATATCAAAAGTCTGCACCCCTAAACCTTATAAAATATTTTAATAATAATAATAATTTAGTAATAAAAAAAGGAGATAGAATATATTTTAAATATTTTTAATTTTTAAATATTTTTTTTTTATATTTAAATTAAAATAAAAACAATTTTGAAAATAATAATAAAAAATATTAAAAAATATTATAATCTAATTTTAAATTTATAAAAGATTTAATTCTAAATTTTTAATTATTTTTTAATTAATTAATAAGCTAACTAAAATATTTTTATAAATTATAACAAATAATTTTAACAATAAATAAAATAGATATAGAATAGTAATAAATTTATAATAAAATAATAATTTAATATTTATTTATTATTAAAAATATTTTTATGAATAAAAGTCATTAATAATTAAATATGAAAAATAATAAATTAAATAAATTATGAAATATGAAAAGTAACTTTTATTTTAAATGTTTATTAATCATTTATATTATTTATTTAAAATTAATAAAATAGATAAAATAAAATAATTATAATCTATATAAATACTAATAATGATCAGTTAAGATTTATTATTTTCTAATTTATTTAATTTATATTTTTAATTTTATTTAATATATTTTATATTAATATTTATTTTATTTATATTCAATTTAAATATTATAACTTTATTTTAAATCTAATAAAAATAAAATTATAATAATAAATTATAGTATTATAATCAGCTATATTTTTTAATTATAAGAGTTAAGCTATTAAAATTAGATTATAAGATTTTTTAACTAAGATTTTTAATTTATATTATTATATGATATAAATTTATAATTAAAAATAATTTATAATAATTTTTGTAATAAAAAGATTATATTTAAATTTCAAAATTATTTTTTATATAATAATCATCTATAAAGTAATTTTAATAGTAAATCTTAAATATTATAAAATTGATTTCAAGCATTTCAAAAATTAGTATAATATTATTTTATACAATAATTTAATAATTTAGCTTCTAATGTCTAAATAATCTTATAAGACTAATCAAATATAATATATAACATAAAAATTAATATAAAAATAAATATTAAAAATAAGTATATAGATATTTTGTAATAGAAAGAAAAAAAATTACCAAAATAAGTTTTTTTGAGTTAATTATTAAATTTGAATTTAGTTTACAAAAAATAATATTTAGTTTATAAAATAAAAATTTTTTTTTGATAATTTTTTTTTTTTATTATAAAGTATTTATATTATAAAAATAAAAAATAAAAAGTGATAATATTTATAATTAATAATAATAAATTATAATAAATATAATAAATAATGATAATTTATAATAATAGGATTTTTATAACCTAAAAAATTTTTCTAATTTTTATTACTTTATTAGTAATTTTATCTAATTTAAAAATAACTCTATAATATAAATTAAAGCAATAATAAGAAAAAATAGTTTTTTTTATTATTATGATTTTTTATTATTTATTTTTTAAATTTTTGCTTACATTTTTTAATAGAATATAAATTAATATATTTTATTATTTGTTTTTTATTTTTTATATGAATTTATATTAGCTTTTATTATTAATAAAAAGTTTGATAATAAATTTTATAAAATTAAAAATTTTAATTGAATAAAAAAGTATATAAATATTATTAATATTATTAGTTAAAGTTAACTAATTTTTTATAATGATTATTAAGGTTTATTTTTAGATTAATTTTATAATTAAAAAATAAAGCTAAATTTAATTATCTTATTTTTAATAAATTTGAATTTTTTTTAACTAATATTATAATTTATATTTATTATATTTAATTTTAGTAAAATTAATTAATTATAAATTTTTTAATATTTAATAATTATAAAATAATTATTTATAGCTTATAAAATTTTTTAATAATAAATTTAATAGTATTATTTAATAAAATTTAACATATAAAATTTTTTAATATTTTGTAATCAAAAAATTTTATTATTTTAAAAAAATTAAATTTTTAAATATAAATTTAGATTAAACTAAATTAGTTTAATTTTAATTTTAGTAAAATATATTTTCGTTAACAATAAAATAAATTTTAATCAAATATAATAATACATTTAAATAAAATAAATTTGCAAATTTTTATAAACTGAAATTATTAAAAATAAACCATTTATAAATTTATTTAATGTGAAGATTTTAATCTTTAAAAATTCAAAAGATAGATTATAATTAAAATAAAAGATCTATTTTTATATTTTATTATTTCTTATATTACAGATTTTTTTTTGCAAATCATTACCATTTTAAGTATCTTATAAAAAAAGTAGAGATTTGATGTGATTTTTTTTTAACAGCAAAACAAAAAAATAATTTAAATCCTATCTTTTATGCTTTTCTAAAAATTTTATCTATGATAAACTAATGCATGTATATAAAAAGTTTATCTATAAATCTTGTATATAAGTTTTTGAATTAAAAATATTTTCTTATAATGGTATAAGTAATAGAGATAAATATTTAAGAGATTTTGTTTTAATTGTGTAAGATTAGTATTTTTATTATGAAGAATATAATATAATTCATAAAAACTATTTTAAAGCTTTTAAATTAACTATATACAAAAATATTTAAAATTAATTTTAAATTAAAAAATTGTAAAACAGTTTTTTTATCATCTTTCATAAGTGATGTATATTTTTAACTATGAGAATTTTTATCTTTTTAAAAATGAGAAGATACTTTTAATTGTTGCATTTCATCTAAAATAATACTTTATATCAGATTATTAAATAATTCATTTTCTTGAATCTCTGCAAGTATTAATTTTAAAGTCTATCAATAATCTGTAAAAAAGCATGTTATTCATCAAAAATTATATTTTCTATTAGAATTATATTAAAAAAAGGAGGATAAATATGATCATTAACTTTATTATCTATTCTATATTTTTCAATATGCAATTTTATTCAAATCTCTATATTGTTTTTTTAACAATTATACTAAGAATAAAATTAATTTGCAATAGGACTATTTAACCTAAAATAAATAGCCAAAAATTTTCAGTTTGCACTGAAATATAATTCAAATTTTCATAAAATTTCAGAAACTTCTAATTCATTTTCTTTGATTGATTTTAATTCATTAATAAAGAAATCTAATATAAATTTAAGCATATCATACTTTTCAATGCCTGGACCTGTAATTATAAGGGAGGAAGATTATAATCAGGTTGATTGGCATTTTAATTTAACCTTTTTAATGCTTTCTTTATTTTTATAATAAAAGTTATAACATTTTAAAAAAAATTTTTTACATTTCTTAATAACTTTTATATTAAATTTAGAATCAAATTTTTAAATTTTTTTTTGATAAAAGTATTTCTATATAAATTTTAAATTTATCAAATTTAATCTTTTTTGTTATTAAAACATTGTATATTGTCTAAAATTACATATATTGCCAAGATTAAGATATTTGAATATTATTTATTTATGAAAATCATAAAAATAAAGTTGAAAATTTTAATAACATAATGAAGTTTTATTTAAAATAATTCTTAGATTATCATTTTCTTATCTATATATCAAAATCATTAATTTAATCTTTCTGTGATCCATGTAAAAAAAAATGAAAAGCAATCTGACGAAAACACTTAAAATCATGTCTTCTTTCCAAAAATCTATTTAAGCCTTTTTTAACGATTAAAATAACTGCTTCAATAACTTTTTACAAATTATGAAAATGAGAACGCGTTCATTAGCGTGACAAAAAGTGGATTCTCTACCCTTGTAGTAAATAATTTATTTAATTAAAATTATAGTTTAATATTTTATGCGACTTTGCTTGTTTGACAATATAATTTTATAAACTTATTATTGGTTTTGTTTAGTAAGAAGCTTAAGTTAATAAAATTTATTAATTTAATGCTTAAAACAATAAAATTTAGAATAATTATATTTATACATATGACTCAACTGTTGACAATTGAAACTTAATCATAGAGGGGAAAAGGTCAAGGTTTTTCCATATTATAACTTACTTAATTAGCAATGAGAAAAAAAAGAAAAGGGAAAAGTGTAAAGACGAGTTACTCGAGTAACTTAGTAGTCTAAAAACAAAACGAAGCGGTTAACGGTTAACGAATAACGTTACTATTGATGATAAATATAAAACTTTCGGAGAAATAATTCAGTCTACAGAGATTACTTATTAAAGAAATCTTCGATGTTATTAAAAAATTTCTTTGAAGGTTCTTCTTCCAATTTTTCCAAACGTTTAGAAATCGGATCATCTTTTGTGACGGGAAGGTATAATTTTCTATCTCTATCTATATGATAACGTCTTTGCAATTCTGATTTTTTAGGTTCCGAAAGTTCCTTCCACCATTTGGATACCAATCTACTATATTCGGTCATTGGCATATTATGAGGCTTCTTCTTCATCATTTCTTTACGATAAGTAATGAAAATATTTGGCAATCTCTTTTTTGGTGTTGCATTACTTTCATTAAAAGTATATTGGAAGACTTTAAGTTCATCACTCATGGTTTAGTAATATCTGGAGAAAAAGTAATGATTTTTCGATGAAATGATGAAATAATGAAAGATTAATTA